AGTGGTATTTTTCCAAATGGACACCCCTAAATGACATTTTTGTTAATATACACATAAAAATAGCATTTTTGCAATTTCTCCATCAAATAATATAATTTTATTACAAATGAGCGAAAAATTATGCTAATTTTAAAATATACTCGATAAATGAAAAATAATTTACGATTTTTTCTAAAAAAACTTATTTACGATCTTACTAACTGTTGGTTTAACAAACAAAGTGGTAAAATTTGGCTTATGAAATGACTGTTCTCCACAATTATGCAAATTTGGCTGGTTTAAGACATATATAAGATGTGCATTTAAATAATGTTCGCTACAAAAATTGATAGAAATAAGTTTGGATAAGGTTTCATTGATCGAGTTCCTAATTTTCTTTAGTAACTGTATAGGAATCGGATTCTTTAAACGAAAGCACTGGAAACTTACAAAAATAGATGGATAAGGGATTTTAACAAAACAACAAGAAGATGGATAAAAAAATATTCTTAAGCGGCAAAGTAATATGTAGAGAGAGTTGCAACTCAAATGGTACATGATCAATCAAGTTCCGACAGAAATTTGAGTTAAGCAACCTCTTTCCCGCTCTTGTTCCCTTTTGAAGCACCTCCCCAAAGAAGACCTCCTCCTATAAATACATTTTCAGTACTCACACAATCTCTACATCACTCGATCATGAGTATGGACAAGGATCGAAAAAGCCTTCAATTTTGGGCCTCAATTCTCGAAACCCTAGCTGGTTCATCATCAGGCCTTAGAGATGATCGTTATCCTGAGATAAGCCCGCTACTAGTGATGTCTACATCAACGGCCATCGACCCTCAGCCTTGTAACGCTCCTGAAGATGGAGATAAAGAGGCCGGACCGGAGAAAGCTTCATCCAAAGATGGAGCTAAGAACGTTAATGAGAAATCTAAAGGGAAAGAGATAGTGGAGGTAAGTAGTTCCTTTTAGTTTGGATACATGTATATATGAGTTATGTCTTAATATGAACTTTTATCTTGTTTAGTTATGTCTTAATATGAACTTTTGTCTTGTCTAATATAAGGGAAAGGAAAATTGTGCGAAAGAAGAAGGCAAGAGTCTTGGTAAGAGATCACGTAATGAAACTCGTAATGCTTCAGAGAAGGTAAGAACATTCGTTTGTTTGTTTGATGCGTGTCTTCCAAGAAAGAAAACAAGTTTTTTCAATATTTTTTTTTGTTCTTTTTCAAAACACAGAGGAGACGCAACAATATAAGAATCAAAATTGAGAAGCTGAAGCAGATGACACCTCGTTGCACACAGGTTCATACCATTTATTATCTTAATACAAATACTTGTGCTATCGACCGTATTATTTAGTTTTAAAAGGTTTAAGGTTAATTTTTTTTTTCAAAAAAAATAGGTTTAAGGTTCAAAATTTAGACTATTTTGTTAATTTTGTAAAAGATATAAACTATTTGGTTAATTTTTATGTAAAGTACGTTTGTTTTTAAGATTCTCCAAATACGAATATAAGAAGAACATTAAATTATAAATACTTTTTGGGGGGGGGGGGGGTTAA